TTCCACGTGCTGTCAGCTCCTGACTTACGGCTCCTGCCAGGGCTGCTGGGTGCAGCATTTATCAGGGAGGGAGTTAGTCTAGATTCAGTAACTACTGTCGCGGGGCGTCGCGGTTTCCGCAACAGTCAAAGGGGAGAAAGCCTTTCTTTCCCTCCAAACGCTTTGCATCTTGTAGACGGCTGGGCATGCAGAGGAAGAAAGCCCTGTGCTTGTTCTGGGTGCTCTGATAAATGTTCCCGAAGTTACCGCGCCTAATCGTCACAGCAGCAGGACCCAGGGGCTGTCGCCTGCTCCTCCAACTTTTTGCGTAAGGCTGGTCAGAGAGGTTAAGTACTCTGTTCAGAGTTACACAGCTATTAGGATGTAAATCTTGGGTCCAACCAACGGGCCTTTGGATTCTAAATGCATATGTGCTCTTACCATGCAGCACTGCCTCTTGGAAACATTTCTGAAATAGAATATGTTCTCATTCTCCTGAAAGAGCCCTTGCTAGGTACCTTTCCCACCCAATCCCCTCTTTCATCTAAGATGGGTCGCATCCACATTCCCCTAGGATAACTTTTCCTTTCCTTTCCTTTCCTTTCTTCCTCCTCCACCCTTCTTTTCCTCTTTCGTAGTGGGAGTGGGAGCTGGTGGGGCCGGGTTTGGAAGGCAGAGCAAAGGAGCAAGTGTGAGCAAACGCTAGAAGCTTCCACATGCTGACACACTGTGCTACGGGATATAAGAGTGGTACACTCTGGACAGGAAATACATATTAAATAACAATGGAACGTGTTCAGATTAGAAATGAGCAGGCACAGGAGAGTAATGCCAGGAAGCAGGGGGCCTGGTTTCTGAAACTGTTGTAGAGGCTAGTGACGCTCTTCGCTGCGGGTCCCAGAGGGAAACATAAAGTGTGAGATCAATGCCGTGCCAACTGGTGCCCAAGCCATCAACTCACTTCATGAGTTCAGTGAACGGAAAGAACAGAGATGTTTAAGAATTCTTCCTCATGTACAGCAGGTACACTTATTGGGAACTGGTTTTCTTTGGTGGCGGCTTCTCAGCTAGATAAATGAGTGTTTTTATGGGCAGCAGAGTCAATATCCCGACACAGAGAATAATCATCAGGCAAAGTGCAGCCCCACGTCCAACAAAGACTTGAGGCTGCGTCAGGAAGTAAGAAGAAAATAACCAGCAGGAGGATTCATGATGTGCGGAGGCAGTGACAGCAACGGTGGCCGAATGCATCATTCATAATACACTACAATCCCAGCAAAAGTGAGGAACATAAACCAGAGAAAGGAAACGCCATGCCTCATAACGGATGGAGTCCTAGAACGCTGGAGGGGAGAAATGTCTGGGGTGTGTGTGTTTGACTGATGGGCTCTCAGAAGCTGGGGCTTTTTCTTTACTTGATCTGCTCTTCCCAGCAGCACACCTACATGTACACACACACACACACACACACACACACACACGCACACACGTGGTAATAAATCGCATCAGACTCTCTCACCAGCACCTGCAGGTCTGTCTCCCATGGGGCAGATAGGACATGTGACGGACAAGAGGGAAGTCTGCGCCAGCCTTGGGGCAGCCAGCTCCAGCTGCTCTGACCGCCCCCCCCCCCCTCCCCGGACGGTGGGCCATACTTACTAGTGTCCAAAAGAGGTAAATAGTGAAGAGTGCGACAGTGAGTGCAATCAGTCCGACGGCCTCCAGCCGACTGCTAAAGTGCAGGTGGTCCACAGCGCCCCGCAGGCAGAGCCAGCCCGAGATGGTGGCCAGTGGAGTTATGAACAAGAAGCACACCATGTCTCCAAACAGAGTCCGCTTCTCATGCTGGGGGCCTGGGTTTCTGAGCCACTGCCGGGGAAAAGGGAGAAGAGAGAAGAGAAAAGCAAGGTCACGGTTAAATGCCAGGATGGCATGGAGATACACTACCCACAAGCTGTCTTCTTCTTCAGGAAACTGGGAACGGGCACTTCTGACCCATGCTGAGATCACAAGGCAGCATTAAGGGCTCATTCCCAGGCCCCGCCTCACCGGATTATAGTGACTATGGTGATAATTTAACGTGACAATAGTGATGATGATAAAAACAATAATTTGAACAGTGTCCTTGCTGTCGATGGCCTGCTGTTTCTGAAACGATGGTTATCATTTTAAATAGCGACCCCATGGGAAGGTAGAGAGGATGTTATTTCTGGAAGGTAATAGCTGAGGTAGAAAAAGTGCTGTCATGTGGCCAAAGCCTTCCAGGATCTTGGCTCTGGGAGATGTCTACAGGAAAGGGTTAACTCAGCAGGCCGGGGTGGCTCAAATTGTGCATGTTCCCCTGAAAGACCCGTTTTCAAGATTGGCTCTTCAGAAATGAGCTCTGAGTCCTGACAATATTTTGCCTTTTACGAGTGTCTTTGTTTGCCTGAGGCCTTGGGCCATATGGTAAGAGTATAATGAAATAGTTTATGCCAACAGCGTGATTTATGCTGAACACCTATGTTCGCTGTGGGGGCTGGAATATGAGCAGCTGAGGTCAGTCATGCAGGCGCTGAATGCCTATGTGACCGACCCCAATAAACACCCTGGACACCAAGGCTTGGGTTGATAACGCTTGGTATGTGTTGTCACAAATTGTTGCTTTGTATGACATTACTGGGAGGGGACACCTGGGAAGTCGCACCTGGTTTCTTCTGAACTTCACCCCGTCCATGCACCCTTTCCTTCTGCTGATTTTAGTTGGTGTCCTTTTGCTGTAATAAATTGTAACCATGAGTAAAAGAGCTTTTCTGATTCCTGTGAGTCCTTCTACTCAGTCATGGAGCCTGACGGTGGTTTTGGGGATCCCCCACAGAGTGAGGCTCATGTGACTCCATGAACTGAGTGATGCCCCTCCTTGTTAGGACCCTGGACCTCCTCCTTAGGGTGGTCCCTGACGTTTTAATTGGGTTGCCCTCTTGACTGAGTCAACCCCAAAAAAGGGTGGGCAAAACTTTGTGGTTGTTGAAAGACCAGAGAGGAGAATTCCTACAGGGGGGGAACAGAGTTGCTGGGGAACTCAGTTGGGGAATTGCTGAACGCCTGCTGAAATGTTCTCCATAATCCATTCTGGGAAAAGTCATGCTTACGTATGGGTGTCGGTGCACGACAGTAATGAGGTCAGGTGGCTTTTCTTCAGATTGGCATTGAAACATGTCTCCAAATACCCCTGCCTCACTACCCCATGTAGTAGTGGCTGTGCCCAAAGGGTCCAGAGGAGGGGGGGTTGAGCACAGTTAGGGGTGGGAGTGGCAAGAGACGCAGGCCGAGTCTGTTTTCCATCTTGTTTCCTAAATGAACGGGGGCTTAGCTGTGCCGTGGGCTGGCCCCCAAATGGAAGCACTGTGGGCTGCTGAGCACACATTCCAAATGGCCAGGGCTGCAGTTCCCACAGAAACATTGGTGGGAGTGAAAGCATCATGACAGGGGATATGAGAGTAGATGGTGCACAGTGGAGAGTAAAGGGAAGGCCATGGTCAAGGGCAGGAGGAAGAGACAGAGGAAGCAAGGTGAGGACAGAGCAATGGAAGGGCCAGCAAAAGCTTCAGGGAGTGACCAGAGGAGATGGGTGGCGGGGAGAGATGGTAAAAGGCAAGGAAGAGCTTTTCTGAAAGGTACCCTTTCCTTGAGTGTTTGCCTGGGGCCAATATTAAACGACCCACAGTGCCCAACATACCAGTTTCCAGGGACAACCCACCTTACCATTGTGCTGAGATGCTGAAAGAAGTCAACCTCAGCTCAGTAATGAGGAGGCAACTTGTCTGTGAATATAAATACAGCATTATAAAAAATTTCACATAAATCCCTAAGTGATCAAGTGCGAATGATGCTGACCCTGCTGCCTGTTGTCATGTTACCTTACACATCTCAGCAGCTTCAGAAAAATTCAAAGAGCTCTTATTAATTAACATTTTCTTGCCTAAACACTGGGAATATCGATCGCTGTGAGGTGGAAAGGGGAAATCAGGTACGATTATCCTAATTTTATGGAGGCTCAGTGAGGTTAAAGGATCGCTCCAGGGGATTCGGAGGTCAAACTGAGGAGAAGACTCACATAGCTCCCCTCTTGCTCAGGTGTCCTATCAGTAAAATACTCGAAAAATATTAAAATTGCAAGACATGCAGAAATCCAGATCCTTAAACAATTTTGCTCGAATCGCAGCAACCTGATTCCCCTTGCAGATTTTCCCTGGAAGCAGATCTGGAAGCCTGGCCTCCCTTGTTGGAACATAGGAAATTCTCAGTAAATATGCAACAGATGTTCACAGACAAGCCGACCTCCCTGGCAAAGACTTTCCTCAATTTCTTCTGCTTGGGAATTCGGAATGCATTTTATGAAAATTAATTTAGAATTTTACTTATCTGTGTGGCCCTTAACATGACCCAGTGAAATGACTCAGGTGTGGAAGGAGGTAATTACAAGTCACTAGTTATCTCTGTCTGGTGTAAGATAAATTACAAAGGCAAGATGATTATTACTAATGCTGGTTCCTGGTTTCTCAGTTTCTAGTTGTGCTCTGATTTTCTATATTCTTTTTTTTAGATGTTTATTTATTTGGAGAGAGAGAGAGAGAGAGAGAGAGAGAGAGAGATAAGAACGAGTGTTGGCAGAGGAGGGGTAGAGGGAGAAGGAGAAAGAATCTCAAGCAGGCTCCATGCTCACCATGGAGTCCAGCATGGGGCTCGATTCCACGACTGTGAGATCATGACCTGAGCCAAAATCAAGAGTCAGCTGCTTAATTGACAAAACCACCCAGGCGCTGGTGATTTTCTATATTCTTGAAAATTTTTCAGGCCTTTTTATATATCCATTATCACCCAAAATCTGGGACTCTGCACATTATTAGCTATAAATATATATGTGTGTTTATAAGTGTATATATATATATATGTATATAATATATATGTGTATGTATTGTATGTATACATATAATATATACATATATATGTGTGTTTATAAATGTATGTATATAAATATATATTTATAGTTAATGTGCAGAATCCAGACCATGAGTCATATAAATTTGCTCAACTTACTCTTTATGTTGTTTGCTGCTGGGTCATATTTAAGTATGAAGTTGTTTTTCTTTTTTCTTTTCTTTTTTAAAGTAAGCTCTGTGCCCAGCTTGAGGCTCGAACTCATGACCCTGAGATCAAGAGCTGAATGCTGTACCAACTGAGCCAGCCAAGTGCCCAGGTATGAAGTTACACCCTAGGTAGTGTTATATCAAAATCGGTGACTTCTTCAGAATCCCAGGTGTCATTTATGTTTTACACAAATGTTAAGTCCCATGAACAGGACCACTGGTAGTATCTGTTGCTGAGAAAAACCCTGCCCTCTGCCACAGTAAGAATGTCTGTCAAAGCATCCAAGTTGGTCGAGAACAGGATATTTATACAAGCAGAGATTATAACTGAGAAAATCTGATTACACCTCAAATTTCCAGCAAGCGGGGGGATGTCTAAACAAATTAGGAAAACAAAATAAATTATGGAATTTACTTAGAGCAGAATACCATCGAGTAATTTCAAATGATAATGCACATTTTATATTTCCTGACATGATGTACTGCTGAGCAGGAAGAGTTCTACTGGACAGAATGTGTAGTAAGATCCTGTATATATGATGAGATAGTTACATACACACAGACATTTACAAAGATTTACAAAGACATTACCTACAAAGATGGAGTGGATTTACACAGACGAAGACCAGAATGATACCCAGCAAGATAGTGGCTATTCTTGGTGGTGGAATCATGAATGGCCTTTAATTTTTTTTCACTTTGTATGTATTCTCTAAAATGAACATGGATTCGCCATGTAGCTACGCATGTATGTATTAGTTGTGTACGAAACATTGGGAAAGAGAGAGGGGGACCCTGACTGAGAGACAGGGAGAGAAGAGGGAGGGAGCTATCTAGCTAGTGCTTAGCAAACTATAGCAGTAAAAAAATAAAAAGAAAAATAAATAGTACTGACAGATGTTTGGGGCAAGCTCAGTGCTAGAAATCCGAGTTTATTATGCACTATCTCCCTGAGTCCTTGCAATAACTCTCTGAAGCATGTGCTAACATCATCCCCATTTTACAGATGCCGACACTGGGGAACAAAGAATAACTGACCTAAGGGTGGACAGCAAGTAGGTGGCCGAGGCAGGATTCAAACCAGCCTCACTTTGCTGTTCCTTGATTTCCATGCTTACATTTTCTTTCTGCACCAAATGGCACTTGTGTGTATGTGTGTGTGCATGCGCAGTCACTAGATTTTTTGCAAGCTTTCAGCGAGGTGGGATATGGTAAATCCTGCCATTTTACTGTTTCATCAGGTAGGTGAAGGACTGGCTGGCCAGGATGGTATCGTGGTAACTTTATAAAATATTCTCAGGCTACTATTCTGTTCTATGTGAATTCTCTTACCAGATCACAATGCGGTCCAATCTGTGGGCGTTGAATCACAGCTTCACTTTGGCATAATTCGTAACAGACAAAGGGTTGATCTCAATTATTGTTCACTGTGGTTTTTTGCTCCTCTGTGTCTCCTGCCTCTCTAATCAGTTCTACATATTATACACAGAATATTAAACCTATTCTGTAGCAGTATCTTCATTTCCCAAACATTTAATAAAAGAGCAGCCTTCGGCAGAATGGCAGGTTTGTTTGTATGTCTGTGTTGCCACCCGACCTGACCTGAGGTGGACCCTTTAGAACACTGGCATCTCGCACGTTCAGCATTTACAATGCTAAATCAATGACAGGAGCTTATGTTGACTCACACCTTGTGAAATGCAGAGCACTCTCTTATATGCCACATGAAGTAATTGCTTTACTCTCTGATAACCTTTGAAGGCGGTGCCACTACACCACCGTTTTACCGATAGGGAAACTGAGGCACAGAGAAGAGTGGTGTTGGCTTTGGTCCATGCACTCTAGCTCTAAAGACTGTGCTCCAAAACAATCTGTTCTGTCATCATTCTTTTTTTATTTTTTATTTTTTTTTAATGTTTATTTCTGAGAGAGAGAAAGAAAGAGACAGCGTGAGCATGAGTGGGGGCGGAGCAGAGAGAGGGAGACACAGAATCTGAAGCAGGCTCCAGGCTCAGAGCTGTCAGCACAGAGCCCAATGTGGGGCTGAAACTCACGAACTGCAAGATCTTGACCTGAGCCGAAGTCGGACGCTTAACCAACTGAGCCACCTAGGCGCCCCTCCGTCATCATTCTTGAAGCGGCTTTAGTTTAACATTGGTCTTCTGCTTATACTTGGGGGTTAGCTGTGGCCGATGTTTGAGAATACTAATTTATTTGGCATCTCTCACCTAGCCGGCTCACCTCCTTGGCCGCCAGGGGATCTGTCGGCAACCTGGGCACCCTTCCGGCCTTCTGTTCTCTGCTTCCATCAGAAACGTAAAGCAGGGAGACTGAACCATTAAAAGCCCTGGCACTGAGCTGCCTATTTTTCTGTGGTGATCTCGTTCCAATCGCTAACTCGTTCCTGAACCCGGAGATTGATCTGCTCTTGGAAATACGTACAAAAACCAACCACTCAACCAACCATCTAAACAAAACAGAACCCCCCCGCCCCGACCCATGGTAATCAGCACTGTAGGGCCATAGACAGCAGAGGGAATGAAAGTATCATTCCACCGGTGACACAGCATCACTCACTGGCCGTAAGTGTACATCCAAGGTGAGCCGGGCACCAGTGATTCCTTTCAAGGTGGAGTAACTGTGGGTTCGGATATAATTACAGTGTCAATTTGTTAAATCCCTTCTTGGGGAGTAGGGGCAAAGGGGGTGCAGTGCTATAGGACATTAGATTCTGCCTCCCAGCCTCCGAGTTAATCGGCTTAAATCCTCAAGGCAGATAGGACAGCCTGCAGGTCAGTTTGTACTAGAACCAGATTACACTCTGGTGGCTAATAGCTCTGATCGATTACAGCCTTCCCCATGAATCTCCTTAATGAGAAACCATCACGAGAATGGGAGAAACTGATAGAAGGGATAACAACTGATAGGACCACCACAAATTTATGGAGAGGAAAAAGAAAAAGAAGGCATGGTCTCACAATGTTGTCTCATGTGGGTTTATCCGCTTGAGTGTCTCTTGTTAATATGACACTTGGCAGAGTTATTAACCAAGGGCTTACCTTCCTTGGGATGGGTCTTATTTTTGAAGCCCAACTCATTTTACACTAAGCTGTCTTGCTTGCCTGGGGAGCGGCGAAGTGGAAGGGGCAGTGCTGTGATTAGACGGTAGATGATGGGTCCTTTCCATGATTTAGAAATGACCGTGAAACATGAAAACCATGCATTTCAGTTAATGGAGGCACAAAAGAGAACAAAAACAAACAAACATACTCCTACCGGTGTTCTCAATCCCTGAACTCCAGTCTGTCAGTCAATTTCCAGGACAGCTGAAGTCTCACAGAAAGAAATTCCGATGCCGGGGAGCTGAGGAGATGCTTGTTTGGGACATCCATCAGTGGATGCTGACACTGCTCACAGCAATGCGCCTCAAATGAAAACTTCACAGAGGATTTGCTCATGATCCTAAAATGTCCTTCTCCAGCCTTGGCCTCTGTCCAAAGCTCCAGATGCACATATTCAACAGCCCGCTCAACATCTCCACTTAGATGACTAACAGGCGACTTAAACTCAATCCGTCCGAAACAGAACTCTTGATTTAGTACTTAACTTCACAACCTCTCTTTTCTCCACGTCTCCTTCATCTCAGTGAATGACATCACCACCCACCCAGTCGCTCAGCCATCCATTTCCTTTCTGTCTTGTGCCTAGCCCTCCAGGAAGTCCTATCAGCACCACCTTCAATAAGTCTGGAGTCTGTGCACTTCTTCCCACGTCCACTGCCTCTATCCCCGGGCCACGATCATCTCTTACTTGGGAGGCAATAGCCTCCCGGCTTCCATTCTGGCTTCCCTACAGTCCAGCCCCCAAACCAGGGAGAGAGACCTTGTACATACATCAGTCAGAGGATTTTGAGCCTTTGCTTAAGGCTCTCCAGTGGTCAGAACTGTGTCTGTACTCTTGACCTAGGACTACAAGAAGACCTGACCTCACACCTGCCTACCTCTCTGACTACGTCTCCTACCACCTCTCCCCCTTCATTTCCAACCTTTACCTGTGGCTGTTCCCGTATGGGAGGCAGGCTTTGTCCACATTCTTGTACGGTTGGCTCCTTCCGATCACTTAGGTCTCAGCTCAGAGGGTAACTTAGCACTGCAAACACTCCTGAACCTACAAACAGTGCCTTGCTCTATTTTCTAGAAAGCACATGGCACTCTCTGAAAAGATGCTCTCTTTATTTATTTGTTTGTTCCCTTGTTTACATTTTGTTCCCTACTTCAGTGAGAACTCCGTGATGACAGGGACTTCATTTTTGTTCATTATTGCATGCCTCAATCCAAGAACAGTGCTGGAATGCAGTCGATGCTTAATGAAAATGAATGAGCAAACATCTGGATGCCAGGACCCCTGACCAGAAATGATCTTACAATATGAGTTAGACCAATGAAATTGGTTGGTAAAGAGACACTTTTGTTGGTGAGTAGACATCAAGTGCTGAGGTTCACTGCGTTCAGCCTTCTGGACGGGAGATGGTATTCCTGAACATTTTGCTCTTTGTAGGTTTCCAAGAGAAATATCTACATGTTGTTTTGTTGCTATGAGGTGTCAAACCTGTATTTTCTGTTCAAGCTTTTTTTCCCCCTGAGATGTAAATAATTGTGGAATGCCATCTATTTCTCCATAGGTCATGAGATAGCATGACAAATACACTAAATTATTTAAGGTCCTTTCTAGTGTTTTAGTCACAATTACTATCTTTTTTTTATACCCCCCTCCCTTTTTTTTTTTTTTTTTACTACCTTGAACTACATGAGAACGAGACAATATCAGATGCCCATTTAAAAATTATACAACCCCGGTTCAACCAAAAATATGTACTGAGTGACTATTATGTGCCAGATACTTTCACTGAATTTAATAACACCAGCTGGTGTTGTTATTCCCATTTTGAATTACGACATTAAGCCTCATTGATGTTGAGGTACTTGTTCAAGGTTACAGGGCAGAGGAGCCAGGGTTTGAGATCTCCAGCCTAATGTTCTTTCAGCTCTTTCTTTCAGCTTGCTTTTGCACTACATACAATCTTACCCAAAATTTTTTTTTATTAAAAAAA